GCAATGCAGTTTGTGTGGCTGCGCCTCAAGGTAGAGCCGGAGCCATAGCGAACACAGCATATTTCAGGACCTGATGTGGACAGCGCCACTGGCTCAGCCTTCCAGCGCCGTCCTGAGCCTGTAATATCCCGTTGCTGCCAATCAGGAAGAAGCGCGACCGTGAGAGCCAACGCGAAATAAGCACTAATAGATAAGGGCGGGGCCAAAACTGATTGGTCAGCGCAAGTCTCGTGAGTGAGTTGCGTGTCATATAAATTATTCATTGATAAACGAGGGGCTGGTATGGTGGCGGGTTTGGGGCAAATTATCTGCTTTCAGTCGAAAGAGAAAAAGCCACGCCGGCCTGCTTTATGTATTGTTAAGCTAACATTACATTTCTAAATCTATTAAACCTCAAAAACATCGTGCAATATTGCTGGATGATAAAAGTATCAATGGCCTCGCGAGAAACAAAAAAGTTACGAAGTACCGAATAGCCCGTTTTTGGAATACATGTCTGCAGATATGTTTGCAACACAAACAACCACATATTAAATGCAACTGAAAATGTATGCAAATTTATAAATAAAACTCAATCAGAAACCAAAAGATAGAATAAACATTTTAGTAAATACGCAAATAAATAGCGTCAAAAAAGCATGTGTTACGAGCTAGTTACCGAAAGAAATTTTGATTAAGCACGTTTAATTTCTATTTTCAAAACTATAATTTCTTATATTTTGTGTGTTATATTTTCTCTCTATGTAAACTGTAAAATATATAGGCCTAAATATGTAAAAAGATAACAATAAAAATACTATATAAAAACATCAATTTGACAATAATGATAAGATAATAATATAACTCAGTATTGTCATCATCATCATCATCATTATTATTATTATTAGTAGTAGTAGTAGTAGTAGTAGTAGTATTAGTAGTAATAACTTACTAGATAAGAATACATGGCACAAAGAATAAACATGCTTTTACTGTACATTGCTTAATATTGTATCTTTCGTGTCCAAATGTACCTAATATTTAGCCCTTCAAAAAGAAATTTTATCACAGTTTTACATAACTTTAAACAAGCAAGATATTTCCTGCTGCTCCATAATTTAAAATATCACAAATACTATGTTTATCACCCATGCAAATGTTATCCTTTATATTGGGCCTAATAGAAACACTTTAACCTATTGCCGATTTCAGAATAAAATTCTTGCAATTTGTGTTTTTTCCCCACATTGACAGCTCAATTGAACATTGAGAAACAACCGAGTCAAAATGCAGAAAACACTTTATACATTTTCTATTTCAAAGGTAGTAACATGAGGAAAAGGTCAGTTTTTATCTGCTGTTTTTGGTTGATACAATTTAACAGTTGCTTTTTTTTACTGCAGCAGAGATGGCATTTCATTGTGGCCACATGTAAATACATGTGCAAACAAGGGATTGAATTAACATTTGTTTCTTTCCATCTTCTTAGGTTCACCTGTTCAGAATTAGGTGCAGGCCATACGACGAGCAACAGCGGACGCCACTAGGGGGCGAACACGGCTGCTCTACAGTTACTGAACATACGTACGATTTAAAAATGCTGTCGTTGCTAGGAGTGAACGAACGGACGTGGAAAAAAATCACATACTGGGTTTATTTTTTTCCAGTAAAATAAACGAAAACATTTTAGCAAGCGTTTCCAGATATTCCAGATGAAATCCCACAGTACTACCACCGTATCGCGCCCGTCATCTGTCAAAGATAGAGTTGGTGTAGCCTCACACCACCGTAACACAACTACAACTCCAAATCTTTACATCATTTCCAAAATGCAAGAAGACGACTTCATAAAACGAAATGATATCATCATTATTATAATCCATGTAATAACAATAATCTTTTTCTGTACATTTATCAGGCATGCGATGTCAAGAAAATGGTAACTATAGACCTGGGCAACGAAAGACTGTATAACAAAGATACACTGATGAATTTGAACTGTATAGATAAGTAAATTTGCTTTGATATTAACTTAAAATAAGTAAACGTATGGCTGGCTAATACACATAGGCCTAATCATTTTTATTCGCAGATGGATTCATTATAACCTAACTGTAACATGAACATTTTTCATGAAAATACACCTTGCAAGGTAGGCCTAATCTACCATTAGTATTCTTTGCATTGAGATCATAAAATCATAACGATGAATATTAAAACAACTAAAATACATTTTTAAATAATGCACACATAAAGCCGAAATAAAAGCTGATTAAATCGAAACTTTAGCCTGTAAAGTATATTAACAATGCCGATATTTAACATTTTTAATTGAAAAAATCTTTAGTATTGTAATATTAATTTCATATTAAATTGAGGATAGCATGATCTGTTTTAGTGGAAATGCATAAATATATCCTCGGTCCTAAATCGCTAGTAAACAGGGCAATAAAACTGCGAGACTAGGCCCACTTAAATACATCCTGTAAGATAGGGCTCTGTGTTAACGTGTACATTAAACTCGCCCGTTTATATGTTATTATCTATTAGTTGCAATTTTTCGATTTTCAGAATTTGAAAGAGAAAACGAAACATGAATTAACTTGCAACGCCTGGTTGTTGTAAAATCCTTACTGAAAGCAAGAAACATATTAATAAAACATGCACCCACATTTTATTATACGCATAGAAATTGTGAAAATAATGAAATACACATATTTATTATTCTGAAATTCCTTATTACCTCAGTTTAAAAAATATATATATACTACATTTCAGGTTAATGAAGGCCAAAGTTAAAAAAATAAAATTATTAACACAGCCGCATAATTAAAAAATATGAAATCTATAAACACATCGATTTCCCTATTAATTGGCAAAACGTTCACAAATCATGTTTACTTTGTATGCATAAGGCTCGTTTTAATTAAGACGGTTACAAAAAAAGTAATTTGTTTGCAGAAAGCGTAATATTTGTTATTTGGCCAAATCCCTGGCGTCCACGGTTAATTTTCCTTCTGCGCTTTCACCGCGGCGCCTGAAGCTTATGAACCACACCGACAGTCGCTGGAGAGAATAGGTATAATCGTTCGTTGTAAAATGGAGTGGGTCCGACATTCAGAACAAGGTCTGTAAGTATACAATTCTATGAATTATTTCACGGGTCAGAGAATGCTATAAGGGCGATGACTCGAAATACAGCACCGGTAGCAAAGGGCTCCTGTCCATCACTGCTGAGTCTCGGTAAGGCCGATCCGCGCACATGCTAGACCTGTACCTCAAGAACCGCGGTATAAAGGAATTCGCAGTCGGAAGACACGATTTGTTACTTTTAAACGATTTGTGTTTTATTGGTTTGTTTTTAATGATTTTGCAGCATTATTTATATTATCCCTATTTTTCTCTTTAAGCATAACATGCAGGTTAATGAATGTTAAGGATTACTTGCATTTAGATGCAGTCTCATTGTGAATAAAGCTCACATACGATTTTCTGTCTTGTGAGAAAATGTCCAAATGATGAGAAGAAAATGGAGATACGGCACTTCCTTAAATTCAGCAGGTCAGGCAGTATAAGAGGTCAAGAAAACTTGAGAAAATATTTACCTACTGTATAATTTAAGGTATGATTGAAGATAAAGCAGCAGTTTTGTGTCTAAAACGTTACGCATACTTTTTCCTTATATAAATGAAAAATTTAGTTAATAAGCAAAGCAATGTACGGTTCACATACTTTAAAGTCTACTGATGGTTTACTGTAATTTAAGGTGTGAGTTCTGGACAAAAACATCACCGTACAGCACACTGAGGCGTAATTCGCTACCAGAGCCCGACATTTTATCAATGCCGACCTTGAGAGAGAGAGAAAAAAACCGAAACTGTATGTTACCCCATTGTGTGACTCAATGGCGCGTTTTAATGTCCCCTAATTATAAGCCCTGCCGTTAAAGCGAAGGGATCCCTGGCCGCATGCAGTCATGCTGAGAAACCTGTTGCATGGAGCTACACCCCGAGGACCAGACACCCACTTTACAACTTTGACAATGATGAATTGAGAGAGAATACATGCATATATTGATTGGCCTAACATGGAAGTTAGGCCTACTAAAAGTAACGTGAATACGAAGCAATATTTCTGCAGCAAAACAAATAAACAACATTATTATTATTATTATTATTACTGTATACTGAATGAGTAACAAGTATTTAGGTGTAGCTAATGTATACAGTGTAACTGTTTGGAAAGGTTTCGAAATTTCCCGCCGGTTTTTGAGCAGGCCTGATCGCGGGCGTTTTGGACATAAAATAGACCACAGTCTATCTTGCCTTATAAAATTATAGCGCACTACGACGTTCGTCACAATTTCCCATTTTAAGGTGCATTACAGTGGTAGTATTTCTTTCGTCACTTTAGTTGTTAAAACCTATACCAATCCATCATTGCTTACTGTCCGATCGCCGGAAAACTGTAGAGTTCGATAATAATTTAACAAAACACAGCAAAACTTTGACAAGCGTTTGAAGTCTAAAGAACAGAATTCGGCAAAAAAAAAAAATCTCAATATTTACCAGGACCTCAAACTAGAGTTTATATGTCGAAAACCATTGATATAGGTCTAAAGCGAAAAATGAAACAGTGCAACGGAAAAATACATATTTGAGGTGAAGCCCCTTTTACCACATTGTTTCTTTGCAATGATATCGCAATATCTGCGCATCGGACTAAGATTAGCCTATACTAAATGCATTAGCAAAATACGTAGGGCAGCCTAATGCAATTAAAGCTACCAACGATGTACTAATATTTCGGGAAATATTACCCAACGGTGGTAAGTCTTTGAGTTTTGTTTTAAAATTAATTTTATTTGCATATTCGCCATTTCTGATATTTAAATCTAGCATGGATAATATCGATAGTGTTTCTTTAGCGCATTGATTATGCAGGGACTACTGTTATTTTTCACGCCACCTTCAGTCTTGTATGCAGCCTTTTGTACTTATAAAGTATAAGGATTTTCCTACCTGATCTGCCTTGTCTGTCCGACGTGCCCCTTTGCTCTGTTTCCATGCCTGTGAGAGGACTTAGTATGGATAAGTAAAAAAAATAAAAAGAACAATTTTTCTTCTCTTTTTTAACAGTGGCTTTTGGCAAGTTATGGATTGAAATAATTCGAATCTTCCGCTCCCTGTCGCGCCGTTGCAAGTGTTCAGTGAGCTGAAACTAAACGTTTTAGGTGGAAAAAAAGCTCTGAAAGAAGCGTGAAATGATTAGGAAAGTGAAGGACCGCTACCGACGTGCGCCCGTGCCCTGCTCATGTATCAGAAGCTGCGAGCTTCCCATCAGACACGGAAGCTGTACCCGCGGTCTGACATCTGTTACCGAACTAAACTTCATTTACTAAACTTACTGCCTGTTTTTTTTTTCTTTAGGCCTATTTCCTATACTCACATGCGCTGATGGTCCACATGTGTTGATGAGGCTTTCTCGTATGCGTGGTAAAAAACAAATAAGTGCGGTAAAAATAACACGATACACAACTTGCTCGTTCTATTTACTGAATAAAGAAATTATAGTGAATTAACTTTGATTTTTGTGATCTGATTATTTATGTGGCACGTACTAGCGTTTAAATGAAAAGTAAATTCAATGACATATTGACAAACTGACCATACTCCCAAATAAACGGACGGGGGAATTTTAATTATAGTTTTATTTTCTAAGCTTGTTTCATGGCACTAAATGAGCCTCTGCACTGTAAATGGGACAAATGCATTGAAATATTTCATTTCTCACAAAGTTTAAACTCTAATTATACAGGGACCGACTATTAGAGCTACACCCACGGCTGCTGGGGACTGACAGATTTAATTTAGCCACTTTAAGGAAAGTATTCAGCACGGCAAAGGATGTATGAAGTGCTTGAGTTAGTACTACTGGGCACTTTTTTCCTTTTAATATCAACAAAAGTAACAAAAAGTGTTATCACAAACAGTTTTCAAGTGAGTAGTATACAATGGAAATATTCTTTTGCCATATCATAGCCGGCTTTACGTATATTAAATTATAAGATTAGGTTCTGTATAAGGTCGGGTTCTTTCGCATTGTATAATACATATCACTAAAAGGAGTAAGACAGCATTCACGTTTAAAGGTTACCCCCGTTGTTCCTTAGTTGAGAATGGTTAAAAGTGGAACTGAAACCGTATCATTAAATGATCTACCTATTGATCTGGCCACAATAGCAATCTACACTTTGACAAAAAAAAAGTGGGAAAACGTCAATGGAAACAAACATAACAGACAATTTGAGATGCAGACTTTATAGAGTACGCGCTCACAATGGTGCTGGCAACAATAGACCGAGACAAATGATTCTCTTCATTTTGCTGTTGTGTCCTGCGCCCGACCTGACCCTGAGACGAGCAGGAAGCATGAGGATGTTCTGCTGTTTTAGGCGTGTTGCAGTGACAAAGCTCGCCGTGTTGCATTATGTTCCGATGAGCTCCAGAGCTCTTGTCTCGTTTTAATCCCAAGTTAAATGTTACCTTGACTTAAGAGTTTTTAGGTTGTATTAAGAGCGTGGGCCGTTTCCTCGTGAACGGCGAAGTTGAATGCGAAGCCTCCTTCATTGTTTTTCTCACATCCAATAAGACTATTCCTGTAATTCAGTAACAGCTCATTATAACACAAACATGCAATATTGCAACGTTTAGGCGTTAAGCCTTGCAAAATACTAGCCTACCTGTAGGTCAACAACCCGTTTTTTCAATGGGTTTTACAAAATATTTATGCATTAGCAATCATCATAAATTTAATAGATTTAATGTGAATTTAAAATTATCAGAATTTTATGATGTTTTGGTATAATATTAAGAATGTTTGGGCATATTGATAACTCCTATCCTATTCCAAGTAATAAAAACCGCCTAAATAAGACCTCTGAAGAAGAATGTTTCAGGTTTACTTTTATGAATTTCGCTCTGTGTTGAAAAGCTGTTGCTCAAATCAAGTTATGTAAACCTTTCTATTATAGGCCTGCCTCCTGGGGGGTCTCTATTACAGAAGCGTGCTCGCGTTATTTTACCTGTAGGGAATCTGTGCCACTTGTTAGCCTGGGTCCAAGCACCGCCGGTGCTGGATCCTTTTCATTTTTCTACTGATGATTTGATTTTATTCCTGTCTCTGGATCCTTCGTCTTTCTGAACTTCTCATCCAGTGCAGGGTAGCACGAACCCAGGGCGCGTATGTCTGTAGGTACAGACCAACCCTGTCATTTCTGCTTCACTATTTTATTCAATTGTTAACTAATTCTGACATGTGCGCTTTGTTAACTTCCGGATTCGCAAAGTTTATTTATTTCAAGCGTAGAACTCGTTAACCTCAGACAATAGTGCGAGTAACATAACTTTTATGACATATATCATTCTGAAATACTTTCCATATACATTCACACGTATGGCTGTGCACACGTTAATGCTATAGAGTACTCCCAGAAAGACTTATTTTTAGTTTTACTTAAATTGGGCCTAATCTCACTTTACTGAGCCGTAGTTTATGTTTAATCCACGCGTCAGCGTAAATGTTAACATTCTGTACTAATAGACCAGTTGTATTACACCAAAACTCTGTCATAACGTTTGTCTCGGATTTTTCCCGCCAATATTTTAATACTCAGCTTGATTGTTAGTGAAAATATCCTCACAATTCTGAGATTATTCGATTTAATTTTACCTAAAACTCAGAAGAACATAATTTATAGTAATGCGTTTGGACGTCTATGATGCCTACAGATCTTTCATTTAACATGGTAAGTAATTTATTTGTAAAGACCGATCCATCCCTGTATTTTACTTTAACAATTAATTCTCTCGTCTGACCATTAGACTATTTCTCAGTGATTGGCTTTATATTTTAAGTCCACATTGCCAAGCCAAAATATTCAAATTTATAAGGCACAGTACAACTATCTGAAATATCCATTTTAATTAAACCCAGAATACTAATTGAAGTTCATTTATTTATAGTTTAATGAGCTTTTCAGCAAGACACGTGAATAAATTAGGCGTAGTATTATTACAAACAATGTGAAATGTGGATCATTGTTCATTTAGTTTTGTTTCGATATAACAACCAAAATATGCAAATCAGAACAATATAGCCTAACGAATTGCCCAATGTCATGACACGATACTCCCATAGCAAGATTAAATCATTTATGGCGTTTTATCCCAAATATTTTTACAGTGGTTTTGTAGTTCATCTTTTTGTCTCTTATAAGCATATTACAATACCACCGCCTGTTGTTCTTTTCACGATGAGACAAATAACAGTCCAGCAATTAATTTTTGGAAAGTTGACGAGGTCCTGCTAAATTAGTTCTGTGGCCCTCGCTGGCCAAGTGGAACTGGAAATAATGGCATAAGAGACCGAGACTCCACAATGAAAGCTAGCAATTACGGCTACAATCAAACAAACAAACGGAAATCGCGGCCATTTCCTTAAAGTACCTCTCCCACTTTAAACCAATTAAATGAGACGACCAAGGTACCTTTTGATTGTAAAAGGTACAACTTTTTCCAGATATTAAATTCTAATATCATACATTCCTCCACCTTTTAAGACAAGTATATCTTGACTGCAATAAATAATTTAATGCAAGTGGCATTCCCTCCATCGATAATGTTGCAAAATAAATATTTGTGTATGTCACAGTCAAAATAAAAAGTCCCTTTTGTCCATCTTTACTAACTGCATATCTGGAAGTCGCAGAGTAAAATAAACGCACCTTATTAAAAAAAAAAACTTGTGACTCGGTTATATCTATACATAATTATATATTGAATCATAATTATAGATTATTAACTGAGAACTGTAACGAGATATACTTTAATGATAAAAGCTGATTAATCTTGTGAGCAGGTGATTTTTCTCAGCGCAGTAACATCTGGTGGCCCTGATCACTTTCGGTTGATTTACGTTTAAATTCTGTTTGAAGAATTAGGGCATTCCCAGGTACTCAGTGTAAAGCATTCGCCCCTATTTACATGTAGGTATTTTTATTAAAAACACTGGAAATGATTCAAGTAGCCTATGCATGCTGCTCGTTTTAATATAACACATTAAAATTCAATATAAATCCTCCAAGTGGGCTAATATACTTAGGTCTAAGTTGTGCTTTGGACAATGTTTTATAGCTAAAAAGTTCTATTAAGCTACGAATTCCATTAGCCTCCACTGATCAACATATGAACGAAAATATAACGATATAAAGTGTTACAGTAAATTAATGCGTTCAAACAGAGTAATAGCCAGTTTCTGGATAATGAATGATACCCAGTCCAACTAAAATACCTAATATATTGCGTTACATTGTGTCACAAGCCCCACTCTGTTGCTATATTTGTTCTATCATTTCCATTCGGCTCTTGTGATCCGATATATGAAAATATAATAACAGCTTGTAAATTACTGAAGAGTCTCAAATATTCCAGTCGAATCTTGCCAATTAACTTTATTTTAAGCAAATGAAATGTACCTAAGTCATAAGATGTAATTTTCTTTTTATAAGATGTACCTATAACCTATTAGAATTAAATCATTTTTTATTCCTGATCCTTCAAATGATAACGAGATCCACCTAAGCTGTGACAGGTAACTACTTGTGCGGTCGGCAGAAGTGCCATAAGCCTGAACTGACGGCTCATTCGCGTATGACGTTTCCATACTTTACACGCATCATACTGTATGCTACAGCTACTGTGTACTGTAGTCTAGCTGCAAGGCACGGGTATTTTACAAACGAAACCAAGTTAGATCCTCAGTGAAAGACAAGGCTTTCCAGTTCAATTAAGTCTAATTAAATGTCAAACAAAATAATTAGGTTCTTCAGAGTAACCTTGATCATCTACAGGACTAAAGTTTAAACATATGTATGCTGATTTCTGTATATTTTTTTTTACCATTTAAGAAGACTCTGTGTACTTATCATATACAGCTCAGGATGTAGCTTGAAAAACCCACATGGCCCGTCAAAGCTCGTGCGGTTGCTTTCGAGGGGATTATCGAAAAGGGGACTTGCCTTTTTCATCTCGAATAGCAATAGATTTGATCACCTTTTACAATCATAAATAAAATGGAAAGGAATCAAAGCTCAGGTCTCAGTTTCTGTGAAGAAACAAAACATTCCCAGGTGCATCCAATTTCGGAAACAAAGCTCAAATCCAGACTCGGTTGCGCTGATGAGAATGTCATCTATAGAATAAAACTATTCATCACTTTTTATGGACTTTGTAAGCGATGACACGCATGGGAACGTCTTCTGAGCCCCACGATCACGTTTCGATTTTTCTGTTATTTTCTAAGCGGTAAGGTCTCTAAACATCGTGATATCGGTGAAGTAACATCCCACAAACAGCTCTGTGCTAACCAACACACACTGCCAGGCATCAAACACACAGTCAATGTGTCATCTTGCGTGACACCCACGTTTTCTGATTTTCACGCTTATGGCAAATTTATATTACTCCAAACCTAAAAGTAGCTACGTCGAAAACGTCGGGATAGTTTGCAAAACCCAACAGACTGCTTACATGGTAATAAAACTGTTACATACATGTAAATGCGTGTGCAGACTTGTCTCGAATTGAAAATCTCACGCCAGTCAGCTGACCGAAGTTTACAACCTTGCATTGTTCAAGTCATACAAGGATTGCAACATACAGAAAAAACTTTTTTTTATAGCAAGATTTAGCTAATTAGATTTTCCATATTAAATTTGTTTCCCTCTGCAAATCGTGGTAGGCCCTACATTTGGAAAGAATGATTATGCTTGTTTGATTATTCTCTCATTATTTTGCATTAAATGTGATGTGAAAAGGAAAGATATTGGTCTGCCATGTTAAGTTTACAAAAAAAATAAAAACTGCCACGACTAGAATTTGAGCATCTTAACAAACAATCAGTCATGACTTGGGCCAAGATTGCTCCAACTAACTTTGGCTAACTAACAAAAAATAATTTTAAAAAACCTAGGAAATGTTCCTACAAATATTTAAATTAAGATTACCACTGTCCCTGTCATGGTAAGAACCGCATAGCACTGGGGAAGAACAGGTGGCCACGCTGACCATTTGAAGCTTCAAGAGCTCAGCAATACTGAAGAATTCTGATGGAGATCCAGAGGATTTTAGAAGACAATGCCAGAATGTATATATATAGGAGCTGAAGCTGAATCGTGCAAGATGATGAAAATACTAACAAGTCCACAGCAGGACACTTGAAGGGCAAGGCACAACTTTGCTTTTGTTTGAACATGGGAGGGGGGGGGGGGTTGAACTCAACACCAATTTATGGGGTAGACATGATCATTGGAGGTGTTATATTTGGTGGTTTTGATTTCCTTTTCTTTTTTTTTTTGGGGGGGGGGGGGGGGGAAAAACCCCCCAACCCCCCTGTAATTTACATCCATGCTTGAAGAACAAGACATTCAGAGCTTGGTGGATCAGTGGGGAGCACAGCAGCCTTTCAACTGTAGGGGTGGGGTTTCCAAATTCTGTCTCTGCTCTCTTTGTGTCCTGGGTATGACGTTAATCTACATCCAGCCCTGCAAGCAGGCCCTCGACTTACAGGGAAATTTGGGGGTTGGCGGCAGGATTGGTGCTAGCATCCAGACCAGTGTGGTGCTGCAGTATCACCCGCCGCTCGGCCTTCACTCGGGTTCTCATCCCTGAGGTGGTTTGTCCTGTGGTGGGTGCAGCAACATGCTGCCAGCCTGTGCTCCTTACCTCTCTCCTCTCTTTGTGTGGAGTTTGCATGGGTTTCCTCTAGGTACTACAGATTCCCCCTGCAGTCTAAAGAAATGCACATAGGCTATTTGATGTCTCTAAATTGCCCATATAATCGTTTGTGCAAATGTGTTCCGTGATAGACTGGCAACCCATCTAGGGTGTTCTCCTGCGCTGTGCTAGAAAAATCAATACTTCTACTAATAATTAAATTCTTAATGTCCATAGTGAGTTTAGGCGTAAAGGAAACCTGACTATATGAAATATTTTGCAGCACTGCATGCCTGTTTATAAAATAACCTAATACGTTAATGACAAATCTATTTTTAATTACTTGTATTACAAAACATAATATATAATTCTGTCAAATATATGTACTAAATTTTCATATAATAACATTTTATGCTATCTGGTTTAAGAAACCTCTCGCCAGACGCGATAAGATAATCACCTCGCTCTCGAAACGCAGGGAAAGAAATATCGATGTTATGGTCGTTCATTCAATTAGAGCACAGCCCGGATTGTGAAACTCCGGGAATATTTAGTCGGTCAGCCAAGCGTTTCAACAAAGTCGTGCTGTAGCTCGGAAAAGTGGGAAATTTACGTGAGTAAATTTATCAGTGTAAAAGGGACACGATGTTTCACATCACTACAGATGTCTGAACAACCGATATACGTCATTTTGTGGCGTGTTATGAGCTGTTTTAGATATTTAGTTTACATCCTGCTGACCGCTGTGCATTCGTGGTAACACGTGTGTAGTCTGTTTCCATCCGGCACCATGCATGCTACTGGCTAACGTTGCTATTATAGTAGTATTACTAAACATCCTAGATCCTGTTTGGAGGTGTTTTACACGTCTGTTTACTACACAGGCTATAACGAAATTTGGATAGTTGAAATTTTGTGTGATCTTAAACGTATGTCGTAATGCGATAAAGTTGTTTTGAACGTCGAGTGCTGTGCACAGTTTGCATTTAAAAAGTTTCCACCTAAAAATTAAATATTTTGAGTGCGGTAAGTAGAAAGGTTGTTTTTCCCGACGAAGTTTCAGATTCATGTAATGGCATTTATTCATTTGCGAAATTGTTTTTGAGTATATATCACACAAATTTAGACGGTCATTTTCACCGGAGCAAAACCCCGGATCCAGCTGGTTTTCAGTAAAAAATACATTTTTAATAACTGGCCTGCATTTAGTATTTATATAAAATATGTTGATAAATGTGAGGGTGGCCTCTGTAACTTAACTGAGAGTTATGTATTTATACAGAGGGTATGGTAGAGGGCCGAGTACACCTTAAATATATTGGATAGGCATTCCTTATGTATTATTCACATTTTAAGTGGACTGGTGCAGTGTGTTTAAGGTGTTCAAGGTTGTGTTATGTGGACCTTGTGAACCTGAACAGTCTGCCCCTTTGGGCGCCAGTTGCATAACGTTCTGACGTAGAATCCCAGCCTCCGACTTTAAGTTTATGAGCTTGGTAATGTCTCCTATACATACCGAGTTTCATCTAAACTTAACAATCCCTTTACAGCCACGAACGGCAATGAAAACCTTGGCGTTTTGCTCGTTATCCATGTTTCCCCTACTGCTTCTTCCCATTCCCCGGTCGCTGGCTTGTGACAGCCCTGTTACAGTCTCCCCCGACCGGCCTGGGTGTCATTCGTCACCTACCGTCATGGCGGAGACACGCCGGACTGACCGGGGAAATGGTCTGTTCGCTCAAGATCTAATGTTTTTGGGAGGGGTGGGGGAGCTGCTGCTGGAGCTTGCGTTTTTACTGAACTGTACCTGAGAGGCAGGATATGGTTCCTGGTGGATTAGTAGGCTTTGTTTTGCACTGTAACCTGGCCTTGTCGTCTGATTGTGGTCTCTGAGCAGGTAGATAAGCAGCAGCCCCTCTTCATGCCGAATTCTTAAGTATCAGAATATGATGAAAAATAAGTATTTAACGATGTAAAACACCACTACATTATAATGGATTCAGAAAGCAAGCAAGCAAGCATTAGCATTTCTGTGCTGTCATACACATGAATGATGCGACACCATAGTCACATTTCCTGTGCGTGAACATAGTTGGCCACCAAACCTGATTCTGATATTATTCTACTATTCTAAATATTGCTTTAATTACTGCTTGTCTCAGTCTGAACTGATGGCCGTGTCAAACTCTGTCCACAGAAGATCGATTTAGTCCTTCAGCATGTACTCGGAGTACCAGGAGAGAGAGGAGTACGAGGATGAGCTGTACAAGGATGAAGATGGCTCCAGCAGTTCAGAAGTGGATAGTGAGCTGGAGTTCAGACTTTACAGCCAGCTGCACTATTGCAGCAGCTCAAGACAGCAGGAGAACCAAAATGGACTAGAGGGGAACTGGGAGGGACAGCAGGAGAATCGGAATGGACTAGAGGGGAACCGGGAGGGACAGCAGGAGAATCGGAATGGACTAGAGGGGAACCAGGAGGGACAGCAGGAGAATCGGAATGGACTAGAGGGGAACCGGGAGGGACAGCATGAGAATCGGCAGCAGCAGGCGGTCATTGTCATTGATTCGGGCCCAGAGGTCGTCACTCTCTCGGACAGCACTGAAGATGAAGAGGGGGTTTGTGTGTCTAAGGGCTTGAAGTCTCAGCCTCCAGGCTCTGCCCATGGCAGGCGTGTGCCCCCACAGTCTACCCCCCGGAAAGTTTCAGCAGACACATCCCTGGGCGAGACGGCCTGGGAGAACGCCGTCATCACATTGGGGTCAGACTCTGATTTGACCCTGGACTCGGATTCTGACGACCTGGAGAACTGGATGATCCTGGGCCAGAATAAACTGGAAGGAGATTGTAGGATACAGCTCAACCTGGAAGGCATGGGGAACAGCAGTCCCACAGGTATGGACCTAACCCTAACCCTCATCCCAACACTGTGCAAGATCGCATGGTATAATAGTTCACTTATTAGAATGCTAGCAAGGAATGTTTTGCGATGCACTGAGAGTCAGTGAAATGGATGATGAATATGATACAAGAGTTCTCCTCTGAACTGAGAGAGACTCTACTTTTGTTGTGGTAGTTTGGTTAACTTTGGTGTGGGGCTGGACAGGCTGTGCTGCAGCTCTGGGTGTCTTGGGGCCACCTCTCCCTGCTTTTTGATCTCTGGATGTATGTGTCCCCCTCCCCCCGTCCAATTCGTTTGGAATTTCGTCCACAGACATGTGTGGCGTAAACACGTCAACAGTGGGATGATGGGTAATCTGCACCTCCCTTGAAATGTTAATGAGGCAGCAGACATATCACAGGAATGAATATAAAATGTCCCCCCCCCTTACACCAGCCCAATCTCAGTAGATCTAGACATTAGGGTAACTTTCAGTCATGGAGAATGCTTCATCCATTCAGCTTTTTCTCCAGACCCCCCCCACCCCCCAAACCCTCCTCACTTTTCCTTTGTGCATTCACTTTGTGTTCTGATTTAAATTTTGGGTCTCCAGGCTGGGATTTCTGCAAGAGTGGCCATGCTTACATGGTCATCTATGGTCGGCCGGCTGTGTTTCGGGGATTCTCTCGACCTGCCTTTGTGTCGGGGGGGTGGAGGGGGGGGTGCTGGCTGCAGTTGCTCCCTTGTCTGGCCCCCGTGTGATCTCTGGAGCCTGCCTTCACGCCCTGCTGCCGGCAGTTGGGGTAGTGGGGTGGGTGGGTGGTGGTGGGGGAGGGGGTTTAGGCTAAGCAAGCTAATCAGGCCAAACTGGGAGAGACCGGGTGAGTGGAAAAAGGCAGTTTAACTGGGCTAGAGGGAGTGAGAGGTGGTTTAATTAGAGGAGGAGGGTTAGGCATGGATCATGCAGGATGGATCTCCACAGCCTGGTATTGCTCGGCCTAGCTAGAGCTCAGACAGGACGCTACCAAGAAAAACAGCTAATCGCTTTTGCTGACAGCTTCACGTGAGCCATTCAGTACAATATTGGGGCTTGTTTCTAATGATGTATGGACTTTTTGGTTCAAGTCCTGCTTGTGGTCATTAAAGGAACTATGGCACTCTTCCACAATAGCAGAGATTGCCACCATGCCATCCTGGTTGTGAACCAGACCTTAGTGGACACTTTATCCTTTATCTCGTTTCAGCCAATCCCGTAAAAGCTAAGCTGCTCACTGACTACTCACATGTCTAACTCAGCATTCATCACACATACTTTGTTCTATTCATTCTACAGTATAGCACTTATTAACTAAAGTATTCAGCTGATACCCTTGAACTAAATAAGATTAATTGAAGCTTGAAGCTAATCAGAGGCAGTAGACAAAAATATGGCAAAAACTTTGCTGACCCCCTTCTACCACCAAAGTCTTTTATGATCAATCCATAACTTTGCAATAGGAAATTGAGATTCATGTCTTCCAATCTATACACATCCACTGTGGCTAGTTAATACTCTTCTTATCTCATTTTCGCTTGTTTAGAAGACACATGCATTGTGTTGTTTAATAACTCTCACGATCAGTATTGAAATAGTACCAGGAAATTTTAAACATTTGCTTTCTCAAGGTTTTCGCTGTGTATGATGGATGTTAACAAATGAAACAACACGAGATTACATGGATTAAATTTACCCTGGGTTATGCAGTGGAATTTTACAGAGGATAGAATTTCGATTAAAGAGGAAAAAACTGTGTGGTGATGTAAGCTGAATAAGAAAATGCTTACAGAAATTGCTTTGTGGTGACAGCTCTGTAGACAGGCCGTTGTACAATGTGTCAGAATGCGGAAGACAGTAATTGGCATGGCATCCCCTGTTACACCTGTGGTGACTTCGTTATTTTGATGTTCCAGTGAGTTTTCACAGATTGTCTACTGGGGTTCATTCAGAAGTTATTTTTGTGGTAGCGGTTCTGTACGTGGAGAGCTTTGTTGCTGTTCAGTGAAAGAAAGCTCCCTGTCTGGTAGTACCTGTGTTTTGTTCCTTCTCCTCCTTGTCTGCCTCATGTAGGCAGTGAGTGGGGAAGCTACAGATTGTGGACCTTAGGGTTGCAAAATTCTGGGAATGTTCCTGTTAATTCCCATACATTAACCTTAATTCCCATAGAAAGTTTCCAACTTGGAATATTTCCAAAATTCCCCAGCTTAACTTCCTATGGAATGGTGTGTTTCTGGAAAGTTGCTGGAAATTACCCCCTTGATTTTGTAGTTGGTCGGGCTGGTCTTCCCTTAGCAATGGTAGATGCAGGTGTCCTGGTAGGGCAGGGGCAAAGTTGGGGCGGGGCCAAAAGAAATTGCAATCCTTCTTGCATCTGCCATATAACCCCCAACCCGGCCGAGGCCCCCAAGTCTGGACTCTCTTGCTCCATGGGTTCTGGGTGGTAGTTGTGGTCCCCCCCCCTCCGCCCAGTTCCCAGTCAGCTGGAACCAGGGAGAAAAATGGGCTTCCAGTGTAAGCCTCACTGGCTTTTTAATGTTTTTTTTTTTTTTTTTTGGATAGGGGGGGGGGTGGGGTGGGCAGCTGTTCGTATTCCGGGCTTAACCCAAGCTCTGGCCTCACCCTGCCACTCCTCTCCTTTCTTTGGTCCCCCTCTTTTCTGTGTCTTGGTGGGTGTACAACTGACTTTGTGGAGAGCCTTGGAATTAGGCCCTCCAGTCTTAGGGCAGCAGCAGAAAGAGGAACTGATGGTGTGTCTCTGTAGGCCAGGGATCTACGGTGGCCAGGTAAGTCCACACTCCACCCTTTCTGTTGAAAAACCTTGCAGGAAAATCTTGGCCGGTCCGTAAGCAGGTAGCCAGTTCCCGGGCGTTGGAGGTGCAGGGGGTCTTCCATTGCCTCCACGTCCTCCGGCTTCTGTCCCATCCTGATTCAGGAGGGCTGATGATCCTCCCACTTTTGTCGGTGAAACATCTCCCATTTTCTGGGCTCTTTTCTTACTCTTTAGCCTCATGCATCTTCCATCAGCTATTCTGAAAAGTTAACGTTTCTGTGCATCACTACATGCAATGTAGGTCTTTGGGTCGTTGAGGTATCAATGTGGTACCTTTTCCTTGCATTGGTCTCCTGCTTTTTAATAATCTTCTTTTAGCTGATCCAGCCTTTCACCTGAATTAACTCAATGTTGATGTGTTTCTGGATGTGGTGACTGTACCATTCTCATGCTACGCTGCCAGTGATTTCGTTCAGTTATACAGTACAGATGGGCTTGCTGTTTACACAGCTCCCTAATTAGCCTCATTAATTAGCACTGAATGGCTGTTCTTGTGTGCCACATTTTTAACTGCTAAAGTTTAACAAGTGTGTTTGAATGAAGGAAATTATGATCTCTTTTTCAATTGTGTTTGTCAAAGAGTAACAAGATTTTTCTGTGAATCATTCGCAGCTATCGGGAAGTATGTCGATATGTTCATCTCATGATTTAATCAGTCCATTGAATTTTCATCATATAACATAAAAAACTAAGATTTATCAAAATTTAAATATGTTTGAAATGCACTCGCATTAAACACAATAGCGGGGATGTCACTGACAGCCATTTCCTGCACCACGGATTTCTCTGGGACTCTGTGAGTGGGTGTGCAAGCGATGGAATTTCCCGGGGCTGCCTACATCACGCTCTTTAAAGCCGTGGTGCATCGTGACCTGTGTCTGACACCCCTGGCATTGTTCTGAAAGCTTCTTGCTATTCCTCAAGGGTTTGTAAAACATGTTATGATGTGTTTCTAAAAGATACCCTATGGCTTTTAAATGAAGGTCTTTTTTGTGAATAGATATAATAGATTGGATGGCGTACTGGGGGCAGGGGGCCAGTTTCTTTTTAAAAAAAAGTGTTTGGTATGTAATATCGAGGTCTATGTTTGGGGTGGTGTGTTACTCTGTAGGTTAGGTTGCTGTGTCTGTGATTGGAAGGTTGTTTGTTCAAATCTCAGAGTCGCCAGAATGTTTCTGCTGTTGGGCCCTTGAGCAAGGCCCTTAACCCCCAATTGCTCCAGGGACTTACAGGCCCTGCTTTATATATATATATATATATATATATATAAAAAGTTGTTTTGGATAAGTGTCCACTAAATAAATGTAATAAGTATGAAAATTAGGGTCAGTGGAGTTGACACCAAACAACATGATTAAACCACTTTGCTGCGGTCTTGACATTGTTACAGGATTCTTTTGTGGTCATTTGAGAAGGAGAACTGGGTCAGTGATTGCTGTTATAGCCATGGATTACTGGGTCCAATCTAGCTTTCAGGGAGCAGTGTGAGCAGCACCCGTCAGCAAGCAGGCCAGGATGCAGAACCAAAACGGGGATTACTGCTGTATTGATGTGATGATAGAGAGGGTAAAGGCCAGGTTTGTGCTTTAGGCTGGGGTGATCTTAGTGGGGGCACATAATGTAGTGTCTGCTCCACTACCCTAATTTAGGCCCCTCCCTCCACCCCAAGCACCCCTCTGCCTGGAAATATCCTCCTTCAAACTGCTTAACTTGAACAGGGTCACGGGGGGGGGGGGGGGGGATGCCAGGAGCCTATCCCAGGCAGCGCAGGGCAAAAGGCGGGGGCACACTCTGAATGAGATGCCAGTCGATATGCCTGATGCATTCTGTAAATTAGGCCTTTGTTTTTTGAAGGGGGTGGGATCTGTATTTATTTAGTGTTTTCAGTGCATTCAGTTTTGCTTAAAATAGCTGAATCCAAATATGGCAATTTTTACATTTTGCTAAAATCCATTTTATGTATATAGGTTAAGTATGTCATTTGCCATCATTTTAAACAGATTTTTGATGCCATTAATCCCTTTATGATGTTTGATACCTGCCGTTCATTCTGTAAATGGCTTGTTAATAAAAGAGTATTATTCATTAATCACTTCATTCTTATTCATGTTTTTTTAATCATTTTCTGTTCGTGAAATTAAAACCAG